AGACATAGACTCCTGCGTCTCGAAATAATTTTCTCGAAATGAACCGGGACAGACGAAACGAGAAAATTCCGGGAAAAAATAACGGGACAGAGGGTAAAATTTGTCCCGGAATAAACGTATGAACCGAGACAAGACTTCTGTCTCGGACTTTAAAACTTGTGTCCCGGTGAATTATGAACAGGGACGAGACAGACAGATTTGAAACGAGACATCACGAGACGAGACGAGATTTGTCTTAATTATTTAAGACAAAAGAAATTTTTCTATTACGATACGAATCATTTCGAAAACATGGGTTGAAGAATGACAAGTTGGCCCTTTATTGCTAATAGGGCCACAGACAGTTACCAGTTAAATTGAGTTAATTGCAGATTTAGCAAAATTTATCTGACTAACTGACATGGCAGTTAATTGGTGGTCCGACAAACACCGCAAATCTGTCGATGTATGCATGGCTGAGTATTGAGTCACAAATGTAACTCTTAAGTCTTATCTAAGGCTTCGATGGCACTTATGGGAACCATACGAATATGAGTCGAGTTTATTACGCGTTCGGGACGTATTCAGGCGCCGTGGAGTGCACAGGGAGTAGGGACGCTGTGTCTAGATTAGTCGGCTAATTAGTAGACAGTGGAGTGGAGTCCTGGTAAGATATTCCTAATAATACTAAAGCTAGTTAGATTATCTCTGCCTTTAGTAAAATTTTGTGCTACGCCTCCAAGAAATCTTCACAATTGCGCAGTTTACTGAATTGTTATCAATCACTTGGGCTTGTTTAACGTTATTTAGAAAGGATACACATGGATATTTCGAGTTCTTTTTGAAGATCAAACAACTATATTTTTCCAACTTAAATTTTGTTGTATTTTAAAATGTTGTTGATATTTCTTCCCAAACTTTTTGTTGAAGGAGATTGCTTAAGACAAGATCGATGAATCTGATTCTGTGATTGAGCTGGAGGCAAATCAAAGTCTGTCGAGTCAGCCGATGTCACCAGCTACAGCTAGTATGGCCTCCTCCAAACCATCATAGAACACAATTTAAAAAAAAACGTAATTTTCCATTTTTATTTGCCTGTCAAGATTAAGTACCATAACATAACATAGTGATCTCGGCGCTGCAGTGTAGGCCTGATGTGGCCTGTCGCCGATTCTTTTCCTTTTCGTGCCTTCTTCACAGAAGATCTAAAATCGTGTCATTTGACCGGATCTTTTCACGACTGACGAAAGTTTGAAATAGCTATTCGACTTCCACCGGGTTCGATATGGTGCTAGGCATTTCAATTCTGAACATATAATCTTCCTTAGCTTTATCTAGTTTGTTCTTGAACGCGTTCATACTTAGCGCCAACGATGTCATCGGGAAGGCTGTTCGGGAGCGCTGCCGTAGCACAAAAATTTGACTCTTAAATCAGCCCAAGAGCCAATGCCAACCCTCTACATGCAATGGAAATAGTCAGCATAGCACCTATGCAGCTGTTCTTACTTGCCTCATCTCGCCACACCAGCTTGAAACAAGCAATGCCTCAGCCCACAAGCTGATACCCCAAACGGATTACGCCCAATAGATCTTACACCAATGATTTAAACCCATACCATCACTTCTTACGAATGGCGTAAGCCACCGAGTCCGCAGACCGCACCAGACTGCCGTAAATGGGAACGGCCCCGCACCGGACTGTCGCATCACCTTACCCACTTCGCAGGCGTAAGCCCAGCCCTGACGCTCACCAGCATCTTCTTCCTCCACACTTACCCCCTTCTCTCCACCTTTACGCGAAAGGGTTAGGTTAGGTTTGGTTAGAATTCTTCCGCAAGCTGGTACCGAAAGGAGGGGGAGCAGGGGGTAAGCGTGGAGGTTTAGCCTCCAGAAGAACGGACAGGCTGGAGAGGTAGCAGTGTACTGATAGCACTGTGGCGCAGGGCTTTTCAAAGCATGTTAACTTCGAGCCGACTGGGCGCTCCTCAATATCTGGAATACTGTTCAAGTCCTCATCTGTGAACACACTGCTGAAGAACTGATTAATTATAGGTAAGTACTATAGGTATTCGTGGCTTGAAGATGTTCCGTGAGATTTTGAACAGTTTATTACACCGTACGTCCGATCGTTGCATCACTCTCAGTTCGAAAGCAATACTCAATAAATCTGCCCAAATACTCGCCGACTTGACAGGTTGTCTTCCCACTCCAGTCCATGTGCCCAATGGCTATGTCTCAACGCCAGCAGCAAGAAACGTTAATTGCGTGATTGATTGCCTCATTTAAGCCTTTCTCTCATAATCTATCTTATTTGATCCAAATGCGTTGAGTAGGCGTTCTCAACATCGTGATAGGGATGTTGAGAGCTAGCTCAGGGAGCTAGAGGCTGATTATCTCGGGCCCTTCAATTTTCCTGACATATACAAGATACTTACTAGTTGTTACGTACAAGATATTTATTAGTTATACCATTAGTGCACTTATCATAATGCAATTTCATCAGTTTCAGTGAAGGATTCCCAAAGAACTAATATTGTGCAATAAAGACTAGGAGTCGAGGTACGAGGTAAGGAGTCCATCGATCAAGTTCCTCTGTGTAGCCAAAAGATTTACCTGTAGTAATAAGTAGGTTATAATGCTCATGTTGCTGTCCATGCAGGTTCTTAGCGCCCTAAAACTGGTAGATTGTCTTCCAAAGGGTGCAAAATAAAACTTATACATTTTAAAGAGTATTTGTCAAATAATGTGATATTTGAAGAAGACTAAATGCGCAGCATAAGAGAACTTACACCTATTGGAATGTAATTTTTAGTATAATCTCTAGTCAGCCTTAAACTCGACTATAGTCCATACGACCCAAACACCTACTTGCCTTTAAATTGTTCATATCATTTGTTGTCCGTGCTTCTTTTGATATTCTAATGAAGAAAAACAGGGCCTCGGCTGCGATGACAACGCTGTCGAGGCAATAGGAGGAGGATTTTTCATCGTTCAAGAGCCCAGAGAGGAGGTCGGCGATAAGACTGGACTGATCTGGAGGGAGCATGGCTTCGGAACACACAACGTCTGGTCAAGTGTTCAATTGTTAAACTCTGGCTGCCTCTGCGAAGTCATGATGAGCCTCTAAGTCTCCTCTACACCCGCCGGTCCGGGATCGGTGACTTCTACGCCCTGTACCCTGAGCCTACTGTCCTACCAACCATCTAAGCTTGTCCTACTGACCATACACTGTAAGTCCGGCAACTTGAATGCGCAATTTATTGTCTAGGATGGTGTTTGGGTCTAGGGATCATTAGCCGCTTTACGGCCTTGACTTATAATAAAGATGAAGAGCCGATGAAATTGATAAACTGATAAAACTGATTCTAGAAAGGATTTAACAGATTTATATATATGACGAAACGATTAATTTAATCGATTTGTACGCGTGTTAACCACGCCCCGATATTGCACGTCCACGATGATTATCATCATCGTAAGTGCCTAATTGATTATATTTTCGTTTGGAAGGTGACGCGGAAAATTTCAACCCTGACGTCATCCACCTTACGATCCATCGGCTGTTTTCATTGAGCGAAAGTTGGCGGGATTTTGCGCAGCGTCATAACCGCCCGCGGTTTTTGATTTTCTACACGTACGGATATATTAAATATAATATATTTGAATGAGACTACATTTCTAATTGTCCCGCCATAAATTTTCGTTAGTATTATCTCATTTGCCTTGAATAGAATCCCCAAATCGCGTATAACTTTCAGACTTTTAAGAACTAACCTCGTTGATCAGAAGCGCTTTTCTGATTGGTCCATTCCTCATTACGACTGCAGGCGAGTGCGATTCAGTCTTTACATTCTTTATTTATATGTTCCAATTCGGAAATGCGACTATATGCACCACTCGTCCCATTATGTAACACGCGTAGCATAACGCACCACTCATCCCATTATGTACCACGCGTAGCATAACGCACCACTCGTCCCATTTACTCATCCCATTATGTACCACGCGTAGCATAACGCACCACTCATCCCATTATGCACCACGCGTAGCATAACGCACCACTCATCCCGTTATGTACCACGCGTAGCATAACGCACCACTCGTCCCATTATATACCACGCGTAGCATAACGCACCACTCATCCCATTATGTTCCACGCGTAGCATAACGCACCACTCGTCCCATTATGTACCACGCGTAGCATAACGCACCACTCGTCCCATTATGTGCCACGCTCACCATAACGCTCAAGTCATCCCATTATGTACCACGCGTAGCATAACACACCAAACGTCTCATCACGTACCACGCGTATTGAATTAATCTTAAAATATGGAAATATAATGATAAAGTCTATCATCCTAATGAATTTCCTTAGTTTGCGAAGCTCACGTTGCGTTATCTCTGTTATCTTATCAAGCTGCTTATGCAATAAAATTCAATCATTTCCCACCGTCTCCAAATCTTGGGGTTATGAAAAAACTGTCGTGGCATAAAAACCCCCAAAAGGGTTCGCAATAATCTCATCAGTCAGGGAAATATTTAAAAATATAACAAATAAAATAGCAAATAACTAGATACAGCACACTAATGTCATTCATTGTCACGTGCTATAAACCCATTTAAATGTGCTGCAAAGTTCATGTTTTGGTGTGGCAACAATAATTGATGGTGGCAAGCGAGGGACAAATCACAGTTTGTCTCGCATACCTGGCGGTTGGATTTGCTGCTATATGCATATAAATAAAAGATCTGCAACTGAGTTCTTTGATCTGCTCGCTGATTAGATTACACAGCGATAGTGTTTGTTAGCTATAAATTTAACAGCGATGATGTTTAACAGCATGCAGCTTTAAGTTATTTCACGAATTTTAATTAAGCGTGCAATAAAAATGGAACCCATTTTTATTGTTTAAAGAATTTTGTTTCTTATATGATAACATATTCACCAGATAGTAGTGATATCAGAACTGCAGGCAATGATTGCGCCACCGTTTACTTCAGTCTTGCTCGAACACCAGTTGAAGGCCGTGACAGGGTACCTATCACAGGCAGACTCAGGCTAGTCATCACCTGAAAAAAGCAATTTATGCTGTTAATTTTCCCACTTTCTTGGTGTTAACAAAACTCTATTGAAATATGAGCAAACACTTTGTGCCCATCGTCGCTCGCAACGACGAGACTCAAGAATTCGAGCTGCAAGAAGATGCCCTGCGGAGCGTCCTGCTGAGCTCTGAAGTGGGCGACAAACCCGTCTGTGTGGTGGCGGTGGCGGGGGCGTTCAAGACCGGCAAGAACGTCCTTGTCGATTTTCTCGTACAATACTGCAATCATAAAGTAAGTTTTTATAAAACTTTAAAGTTTTCAATGAATTAATTTATGAAATAACTTGCATATTTCATAATAAATATTAGTTTAGCACTTCAGTAAGAACTCATTTTTGTAACAATAATTCCATATGTTTTATTTGAATTTATGAAATTGTCAAGACATTTCTAAGGCAGTTGCTCAGCCTACATTTTTGGTTAAAAAGAGTTGCTGCTCATTAAAGCACTAAAGTTCTACGCCTTTCAACTTAATCCGCGCCGATTATTTGTACCCAGGGATCTCCAAACTGGTTGGACGAAGTCCCGAGGCCGCCGCCTAAATGGGAGATTGACGAGGTACCAGGCATTTACATCTCGAAACAGCCATTCCTCCTTGCTAAATCAACGGGCGAAGAAGTGAGTACATTTCGGAATTGCAGTTAAGTTTTCTTGCTCACTGTATCGCAAATCCAGGCAATAGATTAATCAGAAACGGGCAACCGTGAGTGCAGCTAGAAGTTGGTTCTACAGTTTGATAAATACTTTCCTCTTCCTTTTCGGGAATGTTGCGCTAAAAATTTCGTTGAAAAATAAACTGTGCGTACGGCACAGTTTATTCATGCCAGCCAATTTATTGAAGATTTTCTGGTAGTCTTTCTTCATGCATAAATACTTTTTACGTAAAAATGTCACGTTTAACTATATAATATTTAGAAAGTTTCTTTGTTGGAGTGATGTAGGCTTAAATGGGCAAGACCTACATGGGGCTGTTTGAGCGCAGGTCGACAATACCTACCGCGTCTTAATATTACCTGGACGTGAAACTTTCTTCCAACTAACAAAGGTTGTGAACAAAATTTTGTGTCATTTGCATGAGTGAAGAATATTTGGGCAGAAAACGAAATGTACGTCAAACTTCAAAACGGGAGCCAGGTGGCAATTCCATGCTAATTGAGTGTTTTAAGGAGTATCTTTCCTAATTATCAATATAACTTTGAAGAAAATTAAAATTGGCATTGAGATTATGGTTAACAGAATTTAACATAACGGCATTTGGAATGAGAAAGATTTTTAACTCAAATCAAGTTGAAAGTATTGAAATAAAATGCATGAGAACGATTTAGTACCAACTTGAATTGAAGAAAATACTTATTCATTCAAAATCGACTCAAAGATTTATCAGAGAGACTTTTCCGGCATGCAGCTTCAGTCCAAGACAGCACGAGTCTCACGTTAAGCAAATAAAAACTTGTTCTAAAGAAGTCAGCTGAGTAATAAATGCTGTCCGTCAACTGAACTTCTTAATTCTGCAGATGCAGAAGAAGGTTACGGACCAAACACTGCTTGCTTCACCTACAAATTAGCATGCTATTTTAACAATATTTTCAACAAATATGAAACTGTATATTAATTTATTCATGACATACTCCTAAGTTGCGTTTGTTGTTGGTATTTGCTTCACCCCTATTGATTTTGTGTAGGCGAATTAGTTAAATGTTTCGGATAGTATTTATTTCATTATATTGCTGATTTTACTCAAATGTTTTCGTCGGTCTTAACATGTGACGCAGATATCCTCTTGCTCGTACGTCGGTTATTTGTGCGCACATTTTTTGGGACATTCATTCACGAATAAAATCGCCTACGGATTCAAAAATAAAGTTGCAAATTTGTTTTGAAATTGTCAAAAGTGAGTTGAGCATCATCTTCGAGTTATTAAACTCATCAATAAACATTTGTGATGGCGAATGTCCTATAGTGAACCTGTGACCTTGCTCCTGACGATATTCCAAGGCGCAGATGGTGAGAAGCACAACCTGAGTAGTGCATTTAATGCAACAACATCGCTATTGTAACAGAAGTACATTTTTTGGTAATATCACTATTGAAAACCTAAAATTATTTTGCCTTGCGCTACAGGTTGCAGTGATTCTCATGAACTGTCAAGGCCTTTTCTATTCGGATCAAGGGAAAGTAACGAAACAGGTAAGCAGGGTTCATCTTCTACCTCAGCAGTCTCAACAACAATATAGGTGATATGCGATCATATATTACTCAAATTTCAGTCCATGGCAACATGTTCTTACAAGCTTATTCAGCTCCGGGAGGTGAGACGGAGAGCAAGATCATTTGTCTGATTCTATATTAATTAATATTCCCAGACCATGAATTTAGTTCCACTCAAATTAAGAAGCCTTCACACTTCCTAGGAAGATCATCTCAGGTCCAGAGAGTGAGGATGTTCATGAAACAAATAGTCGAACTGTAATTAGTTATCTATAGACCCTTATCAGGTGCGGAGCAATCGTTTGATTACGATGTGAAAACAAACCTGACCACTTCCATTCTGCTATTGTTCTATCATTACCGGCTGATGTTGATGCCGTTCTCGATAAATGACAAAGTTGAACAGCAAATTCTGTTAACTTGGGCCGCAGCAGATAACCTAGGCATGCTCAGAGTGATGCGGGAGTTGCCATCGTGAATAAGCGATTCAAAATGAATTCCGAAAACGAATTTATCATATACTATACTTGCATGAAGTCGTGATTTTTCAGCTTTTCGCCTAATTCTTTCGTAGGTAACAATCCCTTTTTCTAGAGTCAATGCATATCAATGGAAATTATTGTGTCATAAGAATTTTTTCATATCTCCCGAGGATTCGACCAACGGGACTTGCATTTTGTAGCAATTAAGGGTCGAGCTCGTTGATGAATGATTCATTCGTGTATTGGATAAAACCAATTTTAAGTCAGACATCTTTCAGAACTCGACGTCCCTTCTCGCCCTTGCGTTGTTGGCCTCCTCCGTGACTGTGTACAACCTCATGATCGACATCTCGGATAAGAACCTCGAAGACTTGCACATCTCCAGCCGATATGCAGTTTTGGCCGGGTCTTGGAACCATGGCAGGCCAGCATTCCAGGTGCGTACAAGACTTACTTGTTCGAAAATTGTAGGTGGCGATTGATCAAAGATTATCCGTTGAAAATTTCACATCATTCTTGTTGAAAACCTTTTCATGACCTCGTGTAGCTTTTGTGATTAATGAACCTAAGAAAAATAGATTCATTGATAGATCTTGAAGTTACGCGGGGGAAGGACTCCGAAAATTATTTTTTATTATGTTATCGCGTTCCCTGCTGTTCGAGTTCATGTGTACTAACATTAATTATATTTTCAAATGTTATGTATTCCTGGACAAGTGCAGCTGAGGCAATAGTTTACGTTTATTTAAAAGATTTATAACTCGAACTTAACTTGGTCTTCTATGTTAGAATATTTATATCAAGAAAATAGGTTTTAGTTTCAATATTTGAGAAATTTCAAGGCGCGAGGATTTTGTTAAAACAATGGAATGGAATAGAATTGGAGTGTCGGCATTGAAGAAATAGGCCCATGGCCTGTGGCCGATTCTGGTACTTTTCGTGACTTGATTCTGCCCGATCTAGTTCAAGTCATGAACCCGATCTTTCCATAACTGACGATTGATTGAGATAGCTGCTGGACTTATTGCAAAGCCAGTAAAGTGCAATGCATTTTAGGACTGAACATATGTTCCTGCATAGCTTCGTCTGGTCTGTTCTTGAAGGCGTTCATACTCGAAGCGTCAACGATGCTATCAGGGGAGGAGTCGTTTGTTGGCTTTATTAACTTGAGCTTCAATATGCTTAGAATATTTCAACTCACTGTCGACATTAACTCCTAAATCATTTTTCCATTTTCGACTTCGACATCATCACTCTGTCCTTGCAACCGTTTCTTGTAACACTGTAATCTTGCTGTTCATTATTCTTGCCAAGGTGGATTACTTTACATTTGTCAGCGTTAAAATTCAGCTGCCACTTATCAGCCCAGTCAACCGACCTGTCAAGATCACCTTGCAACTGTACTTTTTGCGACGTATTCTTCACTGTATTATAAATTTTTGTGTCGTCAGCATACATCGAGCACACGCTAGACAGCTTCTGGCAGATCGTTTATAAACGCAACGAATAAAACAGGCCCGAGAACGTTTCCTTGTGGCACGCCGCTCCGCACTGAAGCCCAGTCTGAAACGGATCCATTAATACTGAAATGTTATCGTCTTCCTACGAGAAAATCTCTGATCCATTTGAGTTCATTACTCTCAATTCCCAAAGACTTCAATTTACGCAACAGCCGCTCATATGGGAAATTGTCAAATGCCTTGGCAAAATCGAGGTACACTGCACCTACTGGTTCCCTTTCGTCCAGCAGGCGGGTCCATTCATTCAGAGTGGACAAGAGGTTAGTGGTGCAGTACAACCAGTAGTGGTGCAGAGGTTAGTGGTACCATACCGCCAATAAAGCCATGTTGACAGTCTGTTAGGAGACTATTGGCAGTCAAATGATCGACCAATCGATCCCTCACAACAGATTCCATTACCGAGCAAAACAACACTTGCCAAACTGACAGGACGATAGTTGCCCCAGGGCAGCTCATGTCACCTTTATTGAACAATGGTGTCACTTGAACTTCTTTCCAGTCAGCCGGCAAGATCCCTTCGTTCAAAAATTTTCGAAAAAATGACGTCAATGGGCCGGCTAGGACGGTTGCTAACTCTTCAAGTAATCTGGGGTGTTTGGATTTAGAGTTATCAGGCGCTTGAGAACTTATTCGGCTTGTGTTTCAAAACTTGTCAATGTAGAGCCGACTGGACGCTCCTCAATAGTTGGAATACAGTTTAACTCCTCGTCAGTTAATACGCTACTGAAAAACTGATTAAGAACGTTAGCCCTGTCCTCATCAGAGGATATCTTTCGTTTATCTACTTACAAATCAGAAATGCCGTCCTTTATCATGCATTTCGAGCTAGCGTACAAAAAGAAGGCTTTCGGGTTATTTTATGCATTTTTGGCAATACTTTTTTTCGAATGTTTCTACTATACTGTGATACCGATACGACAGCTTTCTTTAGCTTGATTTTGATCTCTTGCGTATAGGTTATAATCAGCATCGCTACGAGTCTGTAAACAACGCTGGTAGGCTTCCTTCTTGGTTTTTAGCTTAGCTAGAACTATACTGTTCATCCATTGAATTTTTTGGCTCCAACGAGCTTAATTTTAGGCACACACGCATCAACTGCAGACATTAACGTGTCCTTGAGAAATGACCATGACTCAGCCACATTCATGTCCTTCGATATATTCTCTGCATTCACTGCTTCGTGGAGTTTATCATAGTCGCCTTTCACAAAATTCAAACGCTCACGCTTCCGAGGCGTCTTTTCTGTACAGCACTTAATACTGAAAAACCATGATTGATGATGACTTTCGCTCAATGTAGCCTCGTGACGAAGCTCAACTAACATTGATTCATCACAAGTAAACACCAGCTGGTCTAGAATATTGGGAGTCTGTTTACTCCTAAAATGGGTTGGCTTGGTAACGTGCTGGACTAGGAAGAAGTCTCTCACAGACTCCATGAACAAGAATGCTGGGTGATTCCCATCCCTTGGAGAGGATCCTACTATCTAGTCTATCTCTAGATGATTGAAATCACAAACGATCAACGGGTGGGACCTACGGAAAGTCATGCCCGGTAAAAGACTGCTTAGTACTTTATCGTTATCAGAGGAACTGTTTGGTGATATATACACGACGCCTATGAGGAGGCTATCTTTGCCTTTTAGAGTAAGTTCGCACCACACTGATTCTCTAGCTTGATGCTTTGCAAATAATTTAACTTACTGGACCCCATAAGAGGTTCTAACCCACAGAGCTACACCTCTATTGCACTACTCTTCATTCAAGTTATGAAAATAATCAGAACCTGGCTACTGAAATTCAACAGGTACAATTTTCCCCCGTGATTTTTGGGGAGTGTTTCTGAAATACCAATAATGTCTATGCACTCGTTTGCGATCACAGATAACAGTTCACTTTTTTGTTCAAAACGGAATCCGAGTTGGTGTAAAATAATTTTAAAACATTTTGTGCACTTTAACTTTGATGCATGCGTTTACTTCTTACATTATTTACAGGCCTGGATCTGTGGACGACTCTTTACTCGTCTTCCAGCTCCGCTGTCTGACTGTGTGCGGCCAGTGTTGTATTGGCATCGTGGGAGAGGTTGACCTGAGTTTCCGTGCTTTTCCGCCTGATTCTCTCATGCCATTTCTTGCGAAAATTCGCTCTCTCTAAAAGGTGGCATCCTTAACAAAGAAAGACTGAATTAAACTCTGGGGGAACTCCCGAATTAAATTCTTGCTTTCGGGAATGCCAAACCAAACAAGGTTAAATTTTCTTCTCTCTATCCAACAGCTCACGAGTGCTCTCACTGGCGAGACCAGAGATGACCTCTTAGCGGCCCTTACCTTTTTTGTTGTCGCTTATTCCTGTTTTGTGCAGATGAGCTTGCATTTCTATCAGGTTGTTTCGCAACGAGTGCAATTCGTTACGCAACAAGTCCAACTCTTTCTTGTGGTTATCTTCCATTTCAGCTCTCTTTCTCAAACTATTGCTTGTTAGTTTCTTCCATTTCGGCCTTAAAGATTGAAAACATAGAAGAGCACTTGTCTTCCACCATCTTTTCGCTTTTTACAGCGCTAAGTGTAGGTTGTTGGCAGTCCTGGTAATATCAGTGTACTGTCTCGATTTTGCGAATAACTGAGCAATCTGTCTTGCTCAGCTTCGCACAATTGTTTCAAATGATATCCCCGCAACGATCACAGGCCACTGTAGCGTCAATGACGTCAACCGAAATCAGCTTGCGAAATTTACAAATTTCCCCTTACTCATTTTGTGATTTGATCTTCGCATTCGGTTTCCTCTCTGTCCGGCCATCATGAAATGCAAGAGTTAAAAAAACACAAATTAAAAACTGAGTCAAATTGAGGAAAAATTGTACAAATTTTCAATGTCTTGTAAAACAGACGCGAGAATAAACGGCTTTCAGACTGCGGTGGGTTGGGGTTAGAGGGGTTGTGCAGGTGCTCATGCTAGAGCTAGGCAGAGCTTGGACAAGAAACAAAGGCTGTGCTGTTCTCGTGCTGGCTGGCACATTTCCCTTACTTGCTTCCCTCACTGACTCTACAGCCCGTATTATTCAAGATAAAAACACTTTTACTATAGGCTTGTTCCCTCTATTCGCACTCTCTTTTACTGACTTCACTGAGATTCGGTCATTCAATGATACCGCCCATAAAAAAATAAATGCGAGACTGCACAGTAAAAGTTGAAAATTTGGGACCAACACTTATGTCCGCTCTCGACCACGGTTTAACTGAACTTTTCATGGGTCGATCATCATTCAAAGTCGACCATCGATAATACACTTGCACATATTTACCATAGAAATATTTTCTGATGAAACGTCGACAAATACATAGTCTCGACTTCTTTATTCCAACATTTCCACTTTTCAGAAGCTGATGTTCCTCGTACGCGACTGGAACCCTACCAATCAGCAAAAATACGGCTACAAAGGCGGTCAAGAAAAACTTAAAGCGATACTAAGCGTAAGTTATTTGAACATTAGTCGTCATAATCACTCAACGTGTGGGGCGCCAGCAGAGGGGTGAACCATGAATATGCCAGCGCAAACGGGCGCAGAGGCGAAATTTTGTTTCAAGTTTTGTGCTTGCAATAGTGGCTTTTTATGCAATATAACAACCATGAATCGGGTTTGGATTGAGAGTAATGCACGGGTTTATTTCGTGGCATGAAGTATGTTCTCGCTATAATGATAAATGATATGAAAAGTGTAAATTTCATCTCAGCGATGCCTAAGTTATTCAATTATGCAAAATAGAGTGCAAGTGTCGACATAGGAAGATATTATTGCACCATGGTTATATGGTCGGTGGTACATCGTGTTGATCACCAGGTGAAGCAAGAACAGGACCTGGCACAACAGTTGCTGCGAAAGGAACTTCTTCAGAGTTTCGAGCAACTGGAGTGCTACCTCATGCCGAGCTACGGCGTTGAGACCTGCGAGGACGGCCGACCGAAAAATGGCAGGGAAATTAATGAGAGATGAGCAGCGTGCTGCTGAAATAGGAATTCGTATACTATATTTTAAATTTATTAATAATATCCATAGACAATTAGTATGATGCTTTTATGAATATATATATATATATATATATGAAATGAATGAATTAGAATGAATACTAATATATGACTAAATGAATTAGATAAAATTATAAATAAATATGAATGATTTCATCTACTATAAATATAGTCGAAATTAATTAGTCTAATGATAATTAATTAATATTGTTCCTATTATTTCTGCCTCATATTTCTCCAGAAAGCTATAAATTATGACCAATAGAAATTTAAATGAGCTATATTTTTTAGACTATTATTTGCCCTGGATTTTTAACTCCCTGAGGTTGGACCCACTCCTATTCTAGTAGGAGTAGGATTCATTGAACGAAATCGTCCAGCTTCACAGCCCTTACCATAGAATGCCGCTCAGTTTAATTTTAAACAGAATATAGCAAGCAATTCGTGGACTATATGAAGCATCTGATACCGCGCCTCCTGGCCCCTGAGAACCTCGTGGCGAAGTGTGGACAACCCGCCTCCGCCTACGGACTGGTCGACCTCTTCAAGAAGTACATGGCCGACTTCAAGAAAGGACATCTACTCAAGGTATTGAAGCTTGAGGAATTTTCACTCAATAACTACCGTACATTTGGAGCTTAATTGCCCAGTAACATACGTGTTAAATGAGATCTTTGATTAACTGTTATTTGTTCAATCTTTTTGGGATTCGTTACTAAGCTTGCATGGAAAAAAATGGATTTTTTACAATTTTCGCACATCGTGCCATCAACCAGAACTTCGTACTTGTGTATTTCACACTTTTTCCTATAATAGCTACGTAACAATCGTTATCGCTTAGAAGGGTGCCCACGGTTGCATTTCAAGCAGTGATCTCGTAACTTGTATCACTCCAGGAGGACCAGGATATCTCGCGTGCTCCGGAGGCTTCTCTCCAGATGTCGCCCTATCCACACGTGTCAACGGGCGGAGCTGTCGCTGCGCAAAAAAATACGGTAAGCCATTTTGCCAACAGTTATGGATAAGCAAAGAGTACAAATGAAAGGATGAGTCGGAAAGGATTAATTCATTCAGTAACAATTAGATTTTGCAACATTGTCGGAAAAAATTATTTCCGATTGCCAACCTACCCATTATCACGGATTAGAAGAAATTTTTGATTACGAAATAATTTAAAGCATTGGATTGAATGTTCGGGCCATGATGAGATGAGCGCAAACTTTCTACATTTTACATTAGTAGATCGTCTGAATTTGCATGAAGCTGTGAAGTTTCTTTTAGATGAAGCATGTCTGCTAGTGGAAGAAAGAAATAAAAGCATGTGCTGGTTTTGCCAAGCTGCGTTCGCTCTTCAAAGGTGCACGCCGATAGCGATCGCTTCATTTGCGATCCGCCTCACGCGCACTGCATCGTTGTAACCTCAGGACATTACTAGACGAAGAATATGCTACAGCCTAATGCAAAGTGTTTATTCTATTGTGATAAATTTGTATAAACTATGCTTTATAATCTAAATTCGATCTGACAGACAACTTTTATTCTGTTGCGTAGTGCTATTATTTTCTATGACACATCAAGTCCACTGACCCTGATGACTACACTTGCACTACCTACATGAATGGCCTCCTGCACCTAATCGTCATTTGCTATAACACTTCTAGGTGCAGGTACCCTGAATACGTATTTAAATATTATAGTTTTCTACTCAGTCATGAATATCTTCTAGATACTAAAAAGAAATATCAATGGATTTTTCTATTGAAAAGCTTTTGGTGACTTTTTTGATTGAGATGTTGAAGCACATTTTGGCAGATATACAGCCTCAAGGAGATGATGCCGTCCTCTTGAATAATTTCTGGGATGAATGACTCGGAAATCTCTAGTCATAAAAATGTATAAACATTATTGATGTCAGACAGCAGATGCCGAGTACCGATGAAAATTTTTGCTAGAAAGATCGCAAAGAATAAAAGTAAATCAACAAAGGCGGGCGGCAGCGAAACCAAATTATTTCAGTCCCTCGAAATTTTCTTGGAAGATATACTGGAGAATATCAAAGGCCTTGTATTTCTCTATGACTATATGTTACTACATAGCTGTCAACTGGGTGCTGTCAATGCCATTGGGATTAACCCTTGCAAGTACCACAAGTATTGAGCATAATGATCGATATATCTCTGTATTGAGCATAATGATCGATATATCTCTGTACTGAGCATAATGATCGATATATCTGTACTGAGCATAATGATCGATATACGTATCTCTGAATTGAGCATAATGATCGATATATCTCTGTACTGAGCATAATGATCGATATATCTCTGTACTGAGCATAATGATCGATATATCTCTGCATGTATTGAGCATAACGATCGATATATCTCTGTAGTGAGCATAATGATCGATATATCTCTGTAGTGAGCATAATGATGGATATATCTCTGTATTGAGCATAATGATCGATATATCTCTGTAGTGAGCATAATGATGGATATATCTCTTTATTGAGCATAACGATCGATATGTCTCTGTAGTGAGCATAATGATCGATATATCTCTGTACTAAGCATAATGCATAATGATCGATATATCTCTGTAGTGAGCATAATGATCGATATATCTCTGTACTAAGCATAATGATCGATATATCTCTGTACTGGGCATAATGATCGATATATCTCTGTACTAAGCATAATGATCGATATATCTCTGTAACAAATCATGGCATCAGACGCAGGAATGGCATCAGACGCCAAAATACCCGGAAAATAATCGAAATAAATGTAAATGGCCAGATCGAAAAGGACGTTTGTGCGTACGTTTTATGAAGATATTCTTGGTTAGGCATCAACCAACTTGGGCTACTCAATGCTGGACAAGTTTCGATGCCTAATTTCATATGTGAGTTAGCATTATAGTAGCAGTCTAGCATTATTCCTCAACTCGAGCCTCAATTAAACAGTTTTCTATATTACAGTGGAAAGTCAACCGAGGCTTTTTTCCCGTCAACTCTCGCGGCTTTCCTCTGCGTGGCTTTTGCCTGTGGATACGATACTACTGATATAAAAATATATTTTTGTTCCAGGGCATCCACGACAGGCATCCATCCAATACAGAAAATGAAGAACGCAGCACCGGTAATGATCTTCGTATGAATAAAGTTATGCTTTATTGCAAGAAGTTAATTGATGGATCTCCTACCTCAAGATGTCATCTAAGCTATAATTGTAATAGTTTGTATCGTCCCGACAAAAATTTCAAACGGTTGCTGTTAGAGCGGCGAATTCAAGATGAATTAATTTAAATTTTATATTTTTCAGAAGCCGAGAAGATCAAAGAGCAAGATTTGCCTAAACTGTTGTTCCTGGCGTGCAAACCTCAGCATGAGGTGAGTTTCACACTCATCTAATGCACTAATCATGTGGTGCATTAGTGCATTAACCAAATTTATTTTAGAGTAGTATCCTATTTACATGATTTTTTACTTATGTCGATCTAAATTTCATCACTCTATGCGTCTTGTAACTTGATAATGAATGATTGATACATTTAAAACATTGTTGACGAAATAAAATGTCCATAGGTACCCTGATTTTCAATTTACCAGTACAAATTAAAAATATAGTTCGATATATTGAAGAAAAACTAATAAGAAAATTGTTAAACAAACAAATTCTTTGGTCGTCAGTGAAACCTGCTTAAATAAACATATAGTGTGCACATTGCACAATTAACTAATCTCAAATGTCCTGCATCGCGCATCTTCGTTATGTATTCTGAATGCCAGCTTACAGTACCCTGCCGTACTCACTTGAACACAACGCTTGTATAATAACGAGTTGTAAACCGAATAACGTATTTGAGACTGAGTTGCAAACCGCACAACCCTGCTCAATAAGGATGTTCACAACACTGTGCACTATGGAAGAATCTTTTAACTGTAAAACGCATCTTGTGCACTGCACTTCAAACATGCTTAACGCAAAGAACTAAAAATGTATCAATGTTCTATAAAGTTCTTAATGCGCGGACGACTCCGTCCTCACGTGCAATGCCTTGCAAATATGTAAATTGAGAGTATATTTCCTGAAGACATAATTTCAGGAGACATGCGTACTCAATTATTAAATGCATTTGAAGAATCTTGCACCAGCAAGATTCCTAAACATTCGTCAACCGTTATAGGCAGTATTGGAGTTTCTTGGCAGTCTCGAGTGACCTCTCATAACATAGGCTTGTAATATTTATTTTCTGATCTAATGAGTGGTTTTATGTTGTACAGCATTAATATTAAAATGCCGCTAGTGAAAAACTTGCTCAAAATGGATTTAATTTAGAATGATGAATTGCAGGCTCACAATGATGGAGACGACAGCTGCGCCATGTGCGGTCTCCTGGAGAAGTTTGAGGTTGGTTCTCACTATATGCTTGTGGCGTGTTGAAAACTCCTACCAACATTTTAATTCTCCAAAATTTCGGTTAATGTTGGAAACATTAATGTATGTTGAATAATACACCGTATACACATAAGCTCATGGGCTTCAATATTTTCCTTTTTTCCCCAAATGCAGAATATTTAACTTTGAAGTAAAATAATGTACACAATCAATTAGAATTTTATTTAAGGATTCGATAAAATCAGATGCATGGTTTCAATAGGGTCTTCTGGTGACTAACACAATTAGGATTGAAAATTTGTTCCATTGAATAAATTGAATCAAATGACTCTTTTTATTGGAATATCTTGAAATTAGTTTTCTGAAAATGGCAGTGTTTCTTCCAAAATGAGTCGTATTTGAGCGGAGTAAACTTTCTTATTTCCCGCGATGAAAAATTTAAAACTTGAATTCAAGTGACGCTGAGCAATGAGCCCTGTGATCCTCGTAATTATTACGTGTGTTCTCAATACCACAAAACCTTTTATGAGCAAAAAAAATTTTTTTGCATTTCCTTACCTTTTAGGAGTCTATGGCGATGGAAAACGTAGAACCATTGGAAATGGCGCTGAATGAAAAGAAGTTAAGGATGTGCAGATTAGGAGTGACGTCCACGAGCAACCAAGACACGATTTCTCCTCTGGAAGAGGAACTTCTGTCGTTCGCCCAGGTGTCGGAAAATATGGGTTATCAAGTACCAACAGAACTGCATAAAATTACCGAGAAAATAATTAATAACAAACGTATCGATGATTTTTCCTGCGTAGGAAGTTCTTGCGTCAATCACAGCAGAGGAAACTCTTCTACTATCAGCAAAAAACATTACCTGGCCTACACCTTCAACGAGAAACTTGGTGAAATTTGTGACTCCTTGTCTGCCGAAGAAGTTTATGCGTGAGTTTTAATGGAGATGATCTCTAGTGTATCATTTTGATCTTAACTCTTAAATTTTGATCTTGGTTGAATCTAATAATGTAAATAATATTTCAATTGATTCATATGACCTGTTGGCAATCGAAGATTTGCAACGCAACGCCTTGTGTTATGTGAGTGTAGGAATATTTTACAGGTTAAGCAAGAATCAATGTTCAAACTATATAGTAGTACTTGAAGAAGCGTACAATTTTGTAGCACTTATCGGGTGAGTTGAAGAAAAGTGGACAGTAAATCGCGCAAGATTTCCTTGCGCATTTTTAAAACAGGTATTTTTATCATATGTATCTTCTTCGTTGCTTCTACAGAATGAAGACCGTCATCACACGACCGAACGAAATTGAACATGATCTGAAGAAAATTTTGATGGAGGTTTCAGTAATCAAAAGTGCTGAAAGTTTGAAAGCGTCCTCAGAGATGAAAGATGTCGCATTCTACTACATGATTCTCCTAATGTTGAAAAACCAATTATTGAATAGCATCTACACCCACGAGCTTGAAGAATGCTTGCAAAAAGCACGATCTTCGCTAGATCATCCTGCGTTGCGAGAGCACATCGATCGAGCCGTCAGCCAACTCAGAACATATAAAATCCCACGTAATCCTGCCGGAATTTGCGTCATATTCGCCGTGGACGAAAATCGCAAAGGAAACATGCACGACGTGAGGGCCGTGCAGGATCTGTTTACGGATGAATTCAATTACGATGTAATCGTCACACTCGATCCAACAAAAAAAGATGTGGAGACCGTCATCTCAGAAATCAGTCAACCACGGTACATGTTCTACGGCAGGTGAGACGGATACAAAACAAGGCATAAATTAAGCTAAGCCTAAATGTCGATCGTACATTTTACATTGGTCAAGACTGCGAGTGAAAACATAAACTAACAATAATCAGTTATTATTGTTACGTGCAGCTTGGTGGTCTGGTTCATGGCTCATGGCGACGAGACTCACCTCAAGGTCAAAGACGGCAAGATACATCGCCACGATGACCTCATGACGCCTTTCCAGGGGATAACGTGGCTTACAACGAAACCCAAGCTCTTCTTCATTCAGGCTTGTGCAAACCGAAAGCGAAAAAGTATGTGTGATGTTTCCAGATCTCTAGTCAGCATTAACTGCTTCTCAAATGAATATCATGACATTTGCAAGTGCAAGACTTTGTACTTTCTTCCTGTATGAGCTATTCCATAATAAATTAGTTGTGTAGTCGGAAAATTGTGCTCAATTCATTCAGTTAAACGTTATTACTTTTCAGGAGATGATGCCGAACCCGATAGTGAGAGGATTGGAAACGTTTTCGGCGAGTACGTTGACATCAGGATCGACAGCAGCTTCGCCGATACGCTGATCTGCTACCCCACCGTGTGGGACCAACCGGCAATGCGCTTCCATGATAAAGGTGCTACTTTCTCTAAGGGTTTCTTATGATACGATAACACTTCTTTGCCACTCCGTTACAGTGATCAAATATGATTATAAATAGTAATCGAGTGTTTCTTATATCGCATGCACCAAACGGATATCTTATCAATTCATTTCAGGCTCGGTGTTCATCCAGATATTGGTCGATGAGCTGAAGCGGAAGGGCACAACGACAAGCATCGAGAACGTATTACGAGACACCACCCAGCGCGTGAGCGCCTTGTTGCTTGATGGTGAAAACGATGTCCCATTCAAGCAGACGCCTTACTACGCGTCTTCTCTGCGGAATAAGTTCATCTTCCCCAAGAAAACAGAATAAGAAGAATAATGTGAAATTAGACATGACACTAGAGGCTTTCTAATCAGTCATGCCAGTCAGTCATGCCAATCTCCGATGAAGAAATTGGGTGCTCAATCATTTCCGATCATACGATCATTTCATAATTTGTTGAACAAAATTGAAGAAATAAATTTCTTATTATAATATTTAAATTCACCATTTCCGTAACTTGAAATAGATGGATTAACCTGTTTAAAAGGTTTGATAACTGCGTCATATTTTGGGTGAAAAATTAGGATTTTCCGAGACAAAACATTTCTGATTTGCCGGATTGCTTGCTGCTTTTTGGGAAAGGTCTCTAAAGCTTACCTGTTTATGAAAATAATCACACATAAGAGGCTTTAAACATCGAAAAAATAGATCCCCAAATTTTCATAATATCAATCGCGATATAACTGCCAATAAACTTGAAAGCTATCATTTTTCTACAGCAGATAACGGATTCTATGTAATCTTAATTTCTATGGAGTTTGTAGGTGATAACATAAATAACACCACGAGGTTGCAGTTCAGTATAAGGCCTATACAGACGCTTCTTGCATATCAGTTAATCCTATTAGTTATTTAGAAGTAACTCGTCTGAACTTGTGAACAAATTAGAGACATTTTCAAATGACAAGTAGACGTTTTGCTGCTCACATCTTGATAGAAGTTGCGACAAATGGATTCACCTCAAACGTCACCAATACTTCAAATTTAGAGATCTCATCCACAATTTTTCGTCTCTCCCGCATTCCGATTTTTAGTCAACCAATCGTCACCAAACGTTTGTTTAAAATTGAATTAACCTGGACTTACTATAGCAGAATGAACATCAGATTACCATTTCATGCCTTTTCAATGAAACCATTTGGTTTTCACTAACGTTTCGTTTCTTATGTTAATTTTTGTGAGTCCCGTTAGATTACTGTTTTTTCATCTATACATTACCAATTAATTCCATGATCATCCGACTAGCCTTCCTAGATTCCCTGACCACACGACTTGCCTTCCTTTAAACAAAAAAAATCTATAGTCAGTTTAAATTATAAATAAACTAACTACAGTTTAGCCGTAAGTGCCTGGGATATTTAATTGACATTGTAACTATAATATCTTGATTAAACATTGTTAGCGTGCCTCTTATATCGCAGGCTTGCATTAAATCGCTTCCTAATTCTTCATATAAGGATCCGCAGACAGCCATACATGTCAGCTATGAATGTATTTAAATTGCTAATAACTCACCGAATCTGGATGTCCTAACCAACTCAGTTCCCTGAGTGTATCCTCGTGTCGTGTATTTTTGTGGAGCTTTATTGATGAATTGCATGAACTACATTTTGCCGGTGAGATAAAGCCAGTAGTGAAAGTCTTGCATATTGTTTGTAACAGTTGCTCAATGGTACTATGCTCTAAAAATATAATATTATTACTGAATACATAACAAAATTTATATTCATTTTAAATTTTAGCAGTTTGTTGAATTTCTGTAGTTCGTTAAAATTTAATTTTAATATCGAGCATACTTCACGATTTTTTCGGATGTTCATCGTTTGTCGTGCACTTTATTCGTGGAAGCAGGTAATGCATTTAGACAAACATTGCCTAAATTTTAACATGAATGTAAGTTTTTAAAACACTGCAACTGTAACGCAAAAACCAAGCTGTAACTTCGTGGGACTTCATAAATGAGCTTTCTTAAACCAGAGCGCAGTGTCATTATTATAAGAAATTCTGTTCCGTTTTAATTTAAGGAAGACTATGAAGATTAACTTTGAATAGTTGTTAACTTCTAGGATTAGGAATTAATAGTTAGGGATGAGCGTGGAAAAGAGGTGACAGATTGTGCATTCTAGATTGCTGCATAATGTACAGCATAATATGTGCATTTTCACTCTTGATTAACTTGATTTAATGCATGGAATGGGCCCCTAGTCCTGTTAATGCATGCTAATTCACTTCTTTGGTTGGACCCAACATTGCGAAGTCGTCTATGACGCATTATCACTTTGGCCTTATTGCTGGCCTATAACTTTAACTTTAACCTTAACCTTATTACTAATTAACTTATTTACTAAATTCCTGCTGAGTTGGGCCAACCTATTACTAACCATTGCACATTGTAACTAAATCAAACCTCTGAATGGCCTCTATGCCACTTCTAAATGGAGCCTTCGGTAATAATTTAGAAGGTTGGTTAAATCGATATTTGATCGCAATGAACTATACGACTATATATGACATATTGTTCAATTAATAAGCCCATTGTATTTTACTGTAATTCAAGAAGTTCTTTTTGTTACGTTACAGTATAACGACTCGCATCACACGTCACCCATTCTGCGGGAACTTTGTCGTACTTAACGCCTCTTCTGTTTGCTGCTGCCGTATTTAGTGTCGCAACTTCGCAAGGTTAATACTGGGAATCAAGTTCACTGTCAAATCATATGCCGATAAATTGGAATACAGAATATGATCACATAAAGCATCCTTGTAACTAAGTTTATCAGTTAATCAGACTGTATTCTTTCTCTGGTTGCAGTTGCTCCACTGCTTCTTCAGTTCTCAATTCTTTTGCCTTCGAAAACCTTCGAAGATTTATCCTGTGGATTCTCAAATAAAGTTTATCAGCGATTATATTCGTGTAAATTCCTTACATTATGAGCATAGCAGATTTATTGGGTCCCTCATGATGCGGTCATAGCGGCTCTAAACCAGCTCTGATCCTTCGACTTGCTTGCGTCTGTTGGCTGTGAGAAAAAGCTAAACGCATGAAAACAAGTGGCAGGGCTAAGTTATGATTCTTCCTGGACATTTTATTGGGGACCTCCGGCATAAGTGCCAATAGACGAAACCCGCTCACTGGAAGACTCCACAAATTTATTACTGACTGATTACTACTGCAAATATAGAAGCGCAGACCACAATTAAGATATGGTAAAACAACAATTTTGTCTAACTAATCATAATTTAAGCTCGTCACATGTTTTTCATTTAAATAATCATGTTTTCAAATCATACTACATTTTTTTGTAGATTTCTGAATTACCCTATGAGGCCTAGAATCAATTTGAACAACATATCGATAATATGAGATTAAATGATTATGAGATTATAATCGAATTGTGATTATTTTCCCATGCAATTTTATACAAACGCATAATATTAATTTAGGCCTATCATTTCATAACGAGCGTTCAGAGCATAATTCGGTGTTCAGAACATCTCGCCACATATTGCTCATCGCCACAGTAATATACCTGATACTAACTTTTTTAATATTAGGAAATTTGAGCAAACAATTTTTTCGTGCCAAAAGCAGTTGAATGTAGTGAAGCTACCATAACTCACATCCTTGTACGAGGTATTATGCGAAACGTATTATTCTCCTGATAAAGTTTCTTCAAAAGTGAAAAGTAATCGTAATTTCGATTGGTTTCTTGACAGATCAATTTGTCCAACCAGCTCTCAATTAGACGTAATAATGAAGGACTTCAGAGATACACCTAAAACCTGCTGAAAAAATTCTATCATTTCACTTTGCACACAATGTTCATCAGAAAAATAAAACATTCCTAAAGATTTTGTCTACAGAAAATCAGGCTACAGACAATTGTATTCTGATTACATGAGTGGCAGAGTGATATCCATGAACAATTTGAACATCTGTTCGACAGATGCATGCGTCGTGCTCCTCTCTTGTACTCTAGCAATGAATTCACGACATCTAATGGAGTGAAAGAGTACGATATCAGGAAACAATATTGTGTAGTGCTGGATGTGAGAAGTCTCGCATTTCACCGCCGAACGTATTAAATAAGTCAATGGAAAATAAAACTGCAAAGGGTATGAAAATATTTCTTCAACCGGAAGTAGAAAAATAATAATGAAGTTAGAAAACCTTTGAATATCAATGAAACATTTCAAACAGGAATAATGGTCTCACAACTCACATGTAGTCATGTACTAACATAATGCACCCAGTACAATCATTTGTTTGACATACAATCATATGTTTGACAATCAATCGTATGTTTGACATGCAATCGTATGTTTGGAATACAATCGTATGTTTGACATTCAATCGTATGTTTGACATTCAATCGTATGTTTGACATTCAATCGTATGTTTGAAATACATTCGTATGTTGGCGATAATTACATACGCACATCAGAGCGTGCGCGAACACTAACATATTAGTTCAATCAACAAGCTGTTCCTTCGACTGTAGTGAACATCACTCATGACTGTTCAGCACACGTATACAGCCTACATGCGTGCAGTGAACATCACTCATGACTGTTCAGCACACTTATACAGCCTACATGCGTGCAGTGAACATCACTCATGACTGTTCAGCACACNTCATGATGCAACACGAGTATCATATATAGTTTATACAGAGGGTACGTATACAGCTTATACAGAGGGTACGTATACAGTGTATACAGAGGGTACGTATATAATATATACAGCTTATACAGAGGGTACGTATACAGCTTATACAGAGGGTACGTATACAACTTATACAGAGAGTACGTATTCAGCTTACACAGATGATATGTATCGCTTCAAGGAAGCGGAGGAATTGTGTCCACTATAATCAAATTCATAATTGTTTTAATATCGTCAAAACGACGATGACAAAAACAGTTTGCCGAAACGCAGTTCACTGCCAACCGTTTTCTAGGAGTGATGGCGACCTCAGAGTAGCAAGCCCCGGAGTGACACACGTAACAGTAACAAGCGTGGAGGTACCTTATAATTTGTCATAAAGTATTTTAACTCTGAGAACTTCCCTCGTAAAATTCTTTGCCAGCCACAGGACAGGAAATGCAACCAGTGCAGGGCGTAAGACGAGTTTTTTTAGTGTACGAATGTGTATTACAAATACTGGGAATCACGCCTGGGCTACGCCCGTGAACCGATCGAGAACTCGCTGCCGCCCACGTCTTAGCATAGAGTGCAAACGTATAAGGAGCGACCATTGGATCGTTACACGTAGAAGATTTTACAGGCTGTCAGAAGCATTTTTTCTTACCCCAAGTACTATGCATATCTTACACATCCGTTTTCTGTACTTTCATCCATGTCGTTTGTTCTCCTCCCAACTCTGATACTACGATCACCATTGCACGATTCATCGCAGCGATCAGTCGCCCTAAACCTCCCTTCCATCCCTCCACAGGAAGTAACGTCCACGCCATCGTCATGTTCGGGTCACGCATCGGGACGTCGAAGTCAAACCTGAGCGGCAGCAGCGACTCGGAGCTCAAGAACGTCAAGATCGTCGGCGGCGCGCAAGGTTTCGTCGTCGACATCGAAGACGCGAGTTTCTCCGTCGGCGGGGACGGCGACAAGAAGCAGGGCACGTCCGACAACAACGGCGGACAAGGGAACTCAAACAAAAACAAATAAAAATAATTAGCTGGTAGAATCGGACCATGCGCTTGATTTTTAAAACGCAAACTCCTATATTGTAGGTGGACACAGGTAAATGAAAACATTTGAACTCAAATAAGATAATATCAAGAGGGCCTACCAATTTTCGCGAATATTTCAAATAAGGGCTCAAAACTCGACCACTTGCAGCTGCTTGAGATGCGCTTATCTGTTCATCTCCCACGGAGTCGTACGTGATGGACGCGCTGCAAGCAAAACTCATGGCATCGGTCATTGAGATCATTACCGAATGTAGGCTAAATCAACCAGCAATCGCAGGTTAAACAATTTTTGGATAAGTTTATGATATCCAACAGTCCCTACCGTTTACAAAATTTGCCTGTTGCTTAAAAATGTTTCGATGCATCTTTCCAAAAAGTTAAGCAATATATAAAAAGAATTTAAGGTATATTCCCGAGAAAAAAAATTTCAGTTTTCTGTGAATTAATGATCTTTCACAATTCATTCAAAGCTTTGATGATATTTAAAGATCTTCACAACCATGAAGTGGAATTTCCCTAACTATATTTGCGGTTGAAAATTTTTGTTTCAGTTCTGTGCTCGCATTTTAAATTCACTTCGGGCAGTGCTGTTTTTTTGTCTCTGTAATAAGACATTTTAGTATGGAAATTTGCACCTGATATTATATTAGGACATAATCCAGTTGATCAGACTTGAGTCAACATTGCTCTACTTGAGTCAAAATTGCTCAGGCTATGCTCTGTAGGAAGCAGTGAAATTCGTTGGGTATTTAGCCCAATGGAAGACTTCTGGATATGATAAATGCGCCTATACCATAAATTACGTCCATTAAACAGTTGCTGTAAAAATCCGTATGAAAACTTATGAAAAAAACGTTGTGGTCTTAAATGAAAGGGCATGACGCAATTGAATTTTTTGGGAGACATTCAAAATGTAAACAAATTTGAGAAAACGCCTTGTATTGATTAAATTTTGTGCCCGTTTAGGATATTGCGGACTCTGTTTCCTATGC